TTTTTAGGTTTCTTTATGGTTTTGTTTTGGCATACATTTTTTAAACTTCTCTTCAATAGTGAAGAAAGGACTGTTTTATAAAATTCTTAGCTCTATGTGCTTCTTTTCAGAAGGTAGCAGGACAAATATATGTTTAATTGCTGATTCTGATGTTGTCTTTATTTTTTTATTAAAAGATTTGTGAATTATCAAATTGTCAATCAGGCAACTGCCAAATGCTCTGTCATTTAAACTTAACTATGTCTAAATTATTTAGGATTTAGCAATTGATCTGTCTCTATCAGCTTTACTTGGAGAAAACACATACAACTTTGGAGAGTTGCTAGCACATCCAATTGTAAGTTCACTCACACTTTTCTCTTCTTGTGTTGTCTTTTACTATATGTTATGTTTTTTTTTGGGTTTCATTTTTTCATTTTTCAAAGATTTGGTGGTATTCACTGCTTCTCGGTGAAGTGGCTAAATGAAATTTTATAATAATACACTCCCTCCGTTTTTGTTGTTTGATGATCCGCCTTCCTTTTGAATTTTTTATTATTATCCCCCATTTTCTGATTTGGCTGGCATTCACTACATCTAAGCTTTTTTAAATTTACTATCTGGCTGGCAATTCTTTTGTGAACTCTCAATCAACAAACCTACTTTTTAAATGGAGTTCTTGAAGTTGGGGAGGAGTAGTTATGTTGAGATAGAAGAACAAATGTAGAAAGATTGCCTCAAAAATTTTGAGAAGGTGGGTTTCTAATGAGTTTAGCTTTTGAAATTATTAGTTTGTTTTAGGCGAGTTATGTTTTTCGATCACTTTATCTGTTTTTATTCATTTCATGTACAAGAATGCAATAGATATTCATTTTTTATCAACGACCAACTTTTAATATGTCACTTTTATTTTTGTAGGGAAATGAAACAAATCTTGAAGTTGAAGATTTGTTGTAGACTTGAGCTGCTTATTTTTTTTTGCTTTGGAGATAAATTATGAGACTTGATTTAAATCTAGAGTTTTATATTGGAGATTTATTTCGTATATCAGTTCTAGTATGTGCAGTCATGTATTTGTTAACATTGGTGTCTTGTATTTCTATTATCTTCTTCAAAACTTGATCTACTTATGGATTATTTATTATGATCATAGAAGTTTAGAAAATTATTTCCAGTCATGGTTTTATGGTTTTCGGTTAACCGGTTTGTGGTTAACCAAAGTTTTGGTTAACCGATACTCGGTTAACCGAAGCTTTGGTTAACCGAAGTATCAGTTAACCGAAGTAACAAGTTTGGCGGTTAACCAGAAAGTTGGTTAACCAAAATCCGGTTAACCGATCATGCCCACCCCTAAGCGTGAAGCCAAGCTCTCCAATAATCTCAAGACATTTTTGAGATTTTCTTTACACATCAATATCATATCATGTGGAAATGGTAATTAATCTCACTTAACAAATTAATATTTTTTGTAAATCTTATACGGTTTGAAAAATTTACATGTTGAAGATGACTGCTATAAACTATTTTTGACCTTCCTCAACTTACATTTTGCGCACACTTAAGTTACATCAGGATTTGCCTAAAGTTACATATCTTTTACTCTGAATTACATGTCAACTTCTCTTAGCAAGTTTACATCCTGTTTACATTTGATTTACATTTTCCAAAACGCGTGTTACACCACAATATAATGTGAGTTACACAACACAATAAGGCTCTGCTATTCAAATAAAAATTATTTGTATAAAAAATCATTTTTATAGCCCTGATAGTAAAACATAATATATACACTATTTATGTAAAATAATTGGGCAATTAGACTTTTTCCCATTGAAATCAATATTTTATTTCTTATATTATGTATTGGACAAGTTACACTTCGACTAGATTTGAGTTACATTCATCAATGACGTGAGTTACATTTCTTTAAATGTGAGTTACATCATTCTGCTACTGAAAAAGAGAAATAAAAAAGAAATACTGTACACGCGTGTACTGTTCATGCGATTTTTTTATATTTTAAAATTGATTAAATAACTACATCGTTCTGGACGTGGAACATGATGCTCACCGTGTGATGATCTCACGATACACAAACTGGAATTAGAGACGTACTAATAATAATAGGCTTTTTTATTTCAATATAGTAAAATGAATGAAAAAGACAGAAATGTGACATGTTTTAATTTTTTCAAAAAAGTGACTAAAAGTATTTATTCCTTGTATTTAATCATATATATTATTTTAATATTCCCTTTATATATTTGATTAGTAGTCAGCCGCCATCACCTCCATGGCCACTGGCTCAGCATCATCGCTGCTAACACCGCTTCCGCAGTCACTATCTCAGTTACTTCGGTCAAAGTGACTACTCACTTTGACCGAAGTGACTACCCGCTCACCCACCTGTCGCAATGACCCCGCCCAAAGTGACTGCCTGCACGTCCACTGGTCACAGTGACCCGTCCAAAGTGACTGCCCACCTACCGATCAAAGTGACTGTCCGCCCAACTCCGCCCATCACCGCCACTTTCCGGTCACCGTCATCTAGCCCCCTGGCTTACCACTGCCGTCACCCCCCCCTCCCCAACCCCCAAACCCCCTCCCCGACCCCCAGCCCATTTCCGATCACCAGTCGCCCATCCCCCCTCCCCTGCCCCGCCCCCTATCCTCCCCCAAACCAGTTCGCCCAAAAGCTTAGCCATACCACCACCCCCACCACCATGGAACCCTCGCCGCACCCCCACCACCATGGAACCCTCGCCGCACCCCCACCAGAAGCGAAAGCCCCAAATCAGAGTCGTCGTCCACCGAGATGGAAGATCCGGCTGCGGCAACCCCAAAACCGCAGGCGTCGTCCATCAAGGACGGCAGATCTAGCACCGGCGTCCATCTAGGACGAAGAAGAAGCTAGCAGAGGCGCGACCATCGACCATCAGCCGGAGGAGGCGCGGCCATCGAACAATGAGGACGATGAGTGGCAGTTGCAGAAGAGAGAGAAAGAGAGTGGCTGTTGGAGAGCGGCGGCGGCGGCTGGAGAGCGGCTGGAAAGCTGCAGCGGCCAGATAGAATAAGCTTGAGAGATGATCCGGTTGAGGAGCTGCAGAGATTTGTCGTTGAGGTTGAGTTGAACGAAGGTGGCTTGGGGAGAGTGTGGAGACGTTGGGAGAGAGATGTACAACCTGTCATATTTTTGGGAAATTGAAATATGGTCATAAATTTGGAAAAGAAGAGGCAGAGAGTTGTAGAGCTCGTTTTGTGACCTCTTTTTTCGGCTTATCAGACTTATCAGTCAGTTTTTTCACCAAACACTTAACTTTTGATTTCGCGCGTTGAATTTTGTAATAAGCTGAAAAAGTAAGGTTAGAGTTACGTTTATGGCTGTATTGGCTGAAGTTACTGTAGAGGATCATTTTTGCTATTTTTTCATATAATTTTTTGTTTAATTTATTAATAACAAATATTTTAAACATAATTTTTTCATAAATCAGCAAAATCATCCAATACAGCCACTTCAGCCAGAACATCATAAATTTCAGCAGAATCAGTCAATTCAGCTAATTTTAATGTTACCAAACGGGCTCGTAATCAGGCCATTTTTTCATAACAATATCCTAAGCTTAAACACTTGTGATTTTATGAATTTATGTGACAGACAGATAGAGCAGGGAATCCAAGGGTTTAACCGGTAATAAAAAAGAAAAGCATAAAGTCATAATTCATAAAATAACTAATAAATTGATAATACTAACCAATTTCATATGAAAAAATTCCACTTTTGATCTCATGACTATTATGTCACTTCCACATTACTCCCTTGACTTTCAATTTAAGCAAATCTAGTCCGTGACCTTTTCCCCTTCACCACTCGTCGTCTTTCCGACCACAACTCCGGTAAATTTTAACCGGAAATTCATTTATGTAGAAATATTGGGGGCATTTTTTTCCATTGTATGTTGTTAAAACGGCTACCTACAAAATTAACTTCAATTAATGTTGAGTTAATACGCCAGCTTCCTTCATTCTCAAAAACGAAGTCTTCTCCAATTTCTCAAACTTCCATCAGCCTGAAAAACCCCCAACCATCATTCGAACAATGAGGACTCGTCCGGACCATCGAAGTGAAGGAGAAGGAACAAGTGCTGAATAACGTTCACCAACAAAATGCTGGTGATAAAGGTAAGAGGTTGAACTTTTTTTAAAAAGTTCGGCTTGATTGGATGGACCCTCCCAAGTATGAAAAATCTGATTAGTCCACTATTGCAGTGATGCCAAACGCTTCCCCCAAGGCTTCCCGCCAGAATGCTCACCTCCCAAGCCGAACTTTTTAAACAAAGTTCAACCTCTTACCTTTATCATCAGCATTTGTTGGCCAACGTCGTTCAACACTTGTTCCTTCTCTGATGGTCCGAACGAGTCCTCATTGTTCGAACGATGGTTGGGGATTTTTCAGGCTGACGAAAGTTTGGGAAATTGAAGAAGACTTCGGTTTTGAGAATGAAGGAAGCCGATGTATTAACTCAACATCAATTGAAGTTAATTTGTAGGTAGCCGTTTTAACAACATACAATGGAAAAAATGCCCCCAATATTTCTACATAAATGAGTTTCCAGTTAAAATTTGTCGGAGTTCTGGTCGGAAGGACGACGGGTGGTGAAGGGGAAAAGGTCAAAGACTAGATTTGGTTAAATTGAAAGTCAAGGGAGTAATGTGGAAGTGACATAATAGTTATCGGACCAAAAGTGGATTTTTTTCGGTAGAAAACCTATGAATGCTATTAAATGACGCAACTAACCTTCATTAATTGGTTTCCGGTTAAAATTTGCGAGAATTGTGGTCGAAAGGACGACGGGTGGTGAAGGGAAAATGTCACGGACTAGTTTTTATTAAATTGAAAGTCAAGGAAGTAATGTGGAAGTGGCATAATAGTCGGACAAAAAGTAGAATTTTTTCAATTTCATATTTTCATTGAAGAACTTGGCCATTCAATGGGTTTTGAGAATTCTTGTTGTCTTCCTAGAATTAAGCACAAAATGAATAAAAAATTGAATACAAAATGTTGCATCAAAAACACATTCAAGCATTTTAGGATCTTGATTGATGATATTCTTAATGCTTAATTTCATTAAAAAGTTCAGATGATGATCCAACCTGCCTGTTTCGTTTTGTCGTCATCGCGCTTATGTTAATGGAGGAATTGTGGAGGTCTGACTCGTCAGGTTCCCGATTTTGCTTCATAGGAATCATATCTGTTTTTTTTTTGCAATCGTGATTTTCTGAAATTAGATGTTCTACTTCCATCTAATACGTGTGGGAGAGGCTACCTCTTGAGGGATCGTTATGATAATCAGGCGAAATTGTGCGCGTTATTTGTCGAGTGCATTAACTTCTCGTCCATTACGCCATCATAAACCTTTCCGTCGCCACATTCTGGGAATCGGTGATTTAATGGCCGCCGCATCGTATTCTCACGTCTCGCATCCTAAATTGAATTTCCGCAGATTTCCCGGCGTGAGGCCTTCTCTTGGTGTGTGTGGTAGGGTTGGTAGGTTCGGGAATGGATCTGCTGCTCTCGTGCTCAGAGGTTGCTGCCATGGGAATCCTTCGATTTCGTCTGGAAAATGGCCTGCCGACATCAATTTTTGTACCACTACTAGTTGCAGTAGTAGTAGTAGTATGTATGGGAATAACAATGCTTTCGCAAGGTCAGGGGCGGTTGGTCCATGTTTGCCTCAGTTGCTTCATGATTCAGAGAAGATTACGGTGGGTGTTGGTGATGAGTCTTCCGGAGGCTCTCTTGGATTCTCCAACCATTATTTGCCCAAAAAGTTTGAAGTTGCTGTTGATGTAGATGAGGGTAATCTTCTCATCTTCTCTATTGCATTTATGTGTTAGGTTTGTTTCCTAATGGGAAATCCTTTCATTTGGATTCATCAGTGTTCCTACTTGGTTTGGAGTATTATTTTATTGTTAAAAAATGTTCTTTGGTGCAGTGCTTGGAAGCTTTGTATCAGCTCTCAATAGGTTTATTGCTGACCGCTACTCATTGTATCACTCAGTTTCTGAATATCATGTTTATGAGTTTTTCAAGGTACTACAAGTAGTTCTTCAACATTGTATTTTTATCTATGCCATATTGCCATTCTGAAATCTTATTATAATTGCTCTAAAATGAGGATTGTTTTGATGTCTATCTTCTCTAGTAACGTTACTCGGAGCTGTGATTGTTATCTCATACATTTTCATCAGTTGGCTGTGTGATAGTTAAGAATCAACACCTCGTCAGCTCTATCTGACCCACATTTATATTTTTTATTTTATTTTTTTATAACAGATATGGAATTGCTCCAGGGATGAAGGTACCAGTGCGACTAAAAAAACCCGTTTTAATTTAATCATTTGGAGATAGATATGTTCTTGTTCGTAATTTCTTTCTTTTTTTCATTCAGCAGTAGAATACAAATTTCAGCTGGAATGCATCAGTTTCTCAAAGTAAAAAGCAAAAACTTCTACTTACATTCATTCAAAGTCTCAGAAATCAGTGACAGTTCTAAATCATGTCAATGTACAGGCTAGACTACTAGAGTTGCCTTGATTATATTTCTATTTACCCTTGTCCTAGTAGTATTCTTGTTTCTAAAAGAGTCAATACTCCATCCTCATTTATTCAATCTGGTCTTCTTCGTTATGAAGCTGTTAGCCCATGCAATTTTTGATGCGATTTTCATTATGTGTCATCCGTAAACAGTCTCTTTGCTTTTGTTGTTGTTGGATTCCCAATCAAAAGTATTTTATTATTTGTTTCATTTCCAATTTTGGTAACTTTTACCTTTCTTTTTCAACTTATCTTTCCTGCTTCTTCATTTTCTATTTTATACTTCTCTACTTATTTATCTTCTCTTTCATACTTTTTCTAATAATGTGTCTTACTTTTTACATTTTTTCTAGACTATTTACTACCTAGAGGAACTCCATGAGAAACCTAGAGGAATAAATAAAAAATGTAGATGGAGTGCATTTTTCGTTTTGTTTCACTTGGGTTAGTGCAGGCTTTAGTTCTTCACATGTTAGCAGGGGTGTCCATTTTGAATGTAAATATTTCTGGTTTGTTAGATATCTGGGATTCTTTATCCTTTTCTGAATGTTGACATTTATATGTCTGATAAGAATACGGATTCTATTTGTCAACAAAAATTTGTTTCTTGTGACAGCTGATATTCGGGTTCATGAATTCTTCAAGACTTCTTATTTCAAAAAGGGGATACATCCAGTTCCAGGTGCTAGGCAAGCTCTGCAAAACCTGCACAGATTTTGCAACTATTCAATAGTTACGTATGTACTCCATGTCATGCCTTTTTATAGTGGTCCTAGTGTTGCAAGCTAATAGCTGTTTGGACATTCCTTCTCAGATCCCGACAAAATGCAATTAAAGATCACACATTAGAGTGGATTGAGTCGCATTATCCCGGTCTTTTTCAGAATGTTTGCTTTGGAAATCATTTTGCTTTAAATGGAAAATCCATACCCAAATCAGAAATTTGCAGGTAAATAGCAATTAAAATTCATTTTGTCAGTTTGGTTTCTTTCCAGCTTGTCAGCTATTTATTTTTACCTAACACTCCTGATTTTTTTAATAATGAGTTAAAGTAGGGCTGGGCGTACTTTTTTGCTGAAGTAATTATATTTTCCTCTTATGAACTGACAATATTTTACTACGTAAATAATGTCCTTTTTATTCCCGAAAATAAGCAATTTCAGTAACTTCATCAGTCATCAATATAAGATAGTTTCAGCAATTTCAGTTTGATAAATGAATTGGAGAAGCTGGCTTAACCTTATTTACATGATGAACCAACTGTTGTGGTAGGTCTCTTGGGGCAAAAGTTTTGATTGATGACAATCCAAGATATGCAATGGAGTGTGCTGATGTGGGGATAAAGGTTCTTCTCTTTGATTATGAAAATTCTTATCCATGGTGCAAGACAGATATAGTTGAAGGGCACCCCTTGGTTACAAAAGTCCATAATTGGGAAGAAGTGGAGCAGCAATTGGAAGCATGGATTTTTCCTGAAATCACTGCAAAGTAGGTTCAGGTCTGTACTGTGATATTATAGATAGACACAAGTTAATTCATCTGTCTGTCCAGCCAGGGTGAACGCATTGTTTTTCTCTCTCTTTTTTCCTTTTTTTGAATATATACATTTATTCTCTGTTGTTGCAAAAGCAGCAAGAGTTTAGGCTCCTGGATTAAGGAATGTATAAATAATTTAATTAATCAAAGTTGATTTGGTCATTAAATTGGGCTCGTCTGTTAGTCTGTATTTCATCTTTCAACAATTCAACTGCCTCCCATGAAATGGCACAGATCAGATGCGCAAAAAAGGGATTAAAGATTAGAAATTGCCCTAAATAGGAGTAAAACGCTTTGAAATTCCAAAATAGGAGTATCATGTTTTTTATTCCTTGAATAGAAGTAATCTTCCAAGCTTGGAAAAAATGTCATGTTTAAAAGTCTAGGGAGTTCGAGCTAGGGAGTGCGGATCGGGGGTTGGCTGCTCGGATCTGGAGCTGGGGAGCTGGCAAGGGCAGGACAGGGGTTGGATGGACAAGGTCGATTGGGGTGGGCAAGGGGGTAAGGCAGAGCGGCGGGGAACGACAGGGATTGGGGTGGGCAAGAGCTTTTGGGTAACGAAGGGGAAGGGCTTTTGGGTAACGACAGGGAAGGGTAACGGAGGTGTTAAAGGGTGGTATAAATGGACCCCAAAACTATAATTTTGTGTTTATTTGGTCTACTCAAAACGTTAGTGTCTAATCCGAGATTCGCTAAAAATGTTAGTGTCTTTTGTCTTTATCCCAATAAAAATTTAAACAACTAAATACTCCTCGTGAATACATGAGTGAAGATGAGGATGAATGTGGCGACTTTTGTCCATCTAGCGATCTTTCACAGCTTGAAGCAAGATTTTATATTTATTAAAACAAAAGGCTTAAGTTAAAACAGGGGAATTCAGAATTGGAATTGGAATATTGATATCGATAATTTATTACAGTATATACTATTCGTATGCAAGTTGAATCAATTTGGATGAGATTCCATTCTCGCACTAAATATATGAAATTATTCCCTGAATATTACTAAATTAAGTTTGATTTCCAAAATTGTGATTACTTTTACATTTGGACAAAAATGTGACTAAAACAAAGTGAGAGTCAAATATTTATGTCACTGCCCATGTCACTGCTAGCCGTGTCACTGTTGCCGCCATCGTCGTGTCTCTTCCATCACCATTGCTTGTGTCACTGCTGCTGCCACCATCGGCGGTCATCGCCGCCAACCACAGTGACACATCCAAAGTGACACCGATCACATTTACCCATTCCGAAAACCACCGCTGACCACCTTTGCCGATGTAGGCCACCATGGAAGTTACCGCCGCCCGCCACCGCCGCCAGCCAATAGTGTTACCCCTCTCATTTGACTCCACCGGCAACCCAATCGCCCCAACCACCCCACCATTCCATCACAGTCCACCACCGCCCACGGCCCACTACCATCCCATCACAGTCCACTGGCGCCCCCTACCCCACCATCACTGTGGACCGCCATCGTTGACCATCACCGCAGACCGCCGGCTTGACTCCCCAGCCCCCAGTAACCTCCCAAGACCCCTCCCTAACCCCAACCACCCCTGATCCCCCAGCCACCTCCCCATCCCCCAAGTCCCCATCATGATTCCCCCCCCCCCCCCCCCCCAAGTCCCCATCCTGATGCCTAGCTCCCCCATCTCATCTCCCTAGCCCCACAACACCCCCAGCCCTCACCCAACAACGATGCACTCCAGCCCCACCCAACAACGCCACACACCACCTTCCAGCCTCGCCCCAGCCAAATTCGATATGGAACTCAGATATGAAAATAAGAAGGAAAATCGTCAAATTCGATTTGAAATCCCAATAAAAAAGAGTTAAAAGAGAATCAAGTGTGGTGGCTTGGTAGTCATCGTTGACTGTGCGAAGAGGAGCGACGGATTGGAGGAGGAACGACTCATTGGAGCGCCAGAGAGGATGACACCATTGTTGTGCTAAGAAAGAAGCCTACGAAGAGAGACGATGTTTGGGTGAGAAGAGAAGAATCCTACGTGCGGTTGCTAAGAGATTATTTTAAATGGTCACATTTTTGTCAAATTGTAAAGTGGTCATATTTTTGTCTATACAAACTTCCTAAGTGATATTCTTGCCATTCTTTCTAAATACAAAGTATTTCATTGATTGTTTTAAGAATTCTGATTTGACAAAAGTAAAATTGAAAGTTAGCAAAGCTCTTTCCTAATGGGTCCCATTATTGCACCTTGACCTTTCATGTTCAAGATTCTCAATATTGTGGGTTTGTGTTTAGTAAGGAGTCAAATTTCCTGTTTTTTCATAGGAAAAATATTGTGTTTGCTCTTAAACAAGGGGTTTTGATCTCAATATTACTAAAAAGTGGATAATTGACAAAAATATGACCTTTCTTTTTAAATTTCCAAAAATATGACTAATAAGCATTAAATTTACTAAATTATCCCCAAAGCCAAACTCCAGTGACAACATCCACGGCGACACAACGTCTCAGTGACATCGGTAATAGTTACACCGTCGCCGGTGACACCGCCAAAGTGACACTGTCGCCGGTGACACCGCCACAGTGATATGCCGACTACGACCACAGTGACACATCGACTCCGGTCGGCCACAGTGATATGCCACCTCCGGCTATTGGGACATCGTCAGAGTAACTGCACCACCACCTCCGTCTGGCCAGCCGCCCATCCTCCTCCGGAAAGCTAACCCAAACCCCAACCCCCAAACCCCCTGCCACTGCCGCCCCCACCGGCAATTGGGGGCCCTCCCCGACCACCTGCTACCATCGTCGCCGCCGAGCCATCCTCGTCCACTGTTGCACCCTGCAGCTACCTTCCACCGGCCAACCACTGCTCCACATCTGCACAACCATGATCGCCACTAACCAGAATCCCTAGAGGAGATTAGATCTGAAATATAGCATCGACCATCCTTGAACCACTGGTCTGGTCTTTGTCGCTGGATTGTGAGGGCACTGGTAGGGTTGCGGCTGAGAAGAAAGGAGAAGAAAAGAGGAGTTGCAGCAGTGACGAGAATCACGGCGGCGTAACAACCGCAACAAGGAGAGGCGACATGAGAAGAAGATTCACAACAATTAATCGTCAGATTCAATGGATTTAATCAGCCATTCCTTGGATTCGATCTCATCGGAGATGCCACCTCGTCACTATCCGCCCCTGCTCAACCACCGCACCTCACCACACAAATCAGCCGTCGCCTAGATTCAAAATCCCAACCACAGATGCACTGCAGCCGCGAATTCAGCAGAGGAGTGCAGCAGCGAAGCAACGATTGATGGTCTTCGTCACCGGCTTGAGAGGACAGCGATAGGGGTGTAGGCGAGAAGAAAGGAGAAGAAGTAGAGAGTAGAGACTAGTTGAATCACCGGGGGAGAACCTGCAACGGCGACGCAGATCCCGTCATCTTCGCTTAGCTTCATTGCTGTTTTTGAAGCTCCATAGCTTCATTGCAAATTTGCAATAGGTGGCTCGCTATCTGGGGTTGAACGAGATGGAAGCAGCAATTGGGATTAGGGTTCTAGGGCAGTTCAGTCATTTCATTTAATTTTAATCACTTTTTTGTCCTAAACGAAAGTTGGTGTTATTTTTGTCTTTCAAAAGGTTATAAGCCATACTTATGCCATTACTTCCCTAAACAACACTCTTAACATGTTTGGTAACTTGGTTGATAGGAGATTTTTTATTCTCCTCTCACTTCATTCTCCATCGATGACAAAATACTCTTTTGTTTGGTCATCTTTCATTCCCTTGGGGAATCTTTAAACTCTGAAGAATAATAAACCTTCACATAACCCGTCTTGCTCTCTTGGAAGAAAAGGAATATGCTCAGGCAAAAATATGTGGCTAAACATTCACTATTGACATGTTTATTCTTATTATATTATTATTATTATTATTATACACATTGGGATGATTAATCTTAAAAACTTTATTCTATTAACGGCAATGGCATTGGAATATAGGTTCCTTCTATGCTTTTCGTACATTTACACCTTACAAAACCAATGTTAAAATTTGAAGCTACTCAACTTTCTCCATCAGCTTTATACCATAAGCTTGCAGAATATCCAGCGCTGCAAAATAACATAAAATAACTCAGAATTTTTTGTTTTAAATGAGGAAAAAAAACTACACCGCGGGGTATTTTCAAACTAAAAGTTTGGCATTGCATTTTGAATATTCAATTAGCTACCCCGCCTACCCGTTCAACACATTGATCATTGACAACTTCACCCCCACCTCACACACATTTCACATTTTCAAGAAATGAATGGGAAGTACCTGGTACGTAAACCTCAGCATCAGTTGGCCTTATAACCCCAGTTGCTTTTATCTTGTTTGAAAGTAACAACTGTCAAGTAGAAGAGGTTTTAATCTCATCAGTCCACACAGTTGATCGAAAAGTTGTAAAATTGTATTTTATGTGAAGATATATGATACAAAAACTGAATAAAAAATTACCAATGCCCCGATGGCCGCTGGAATCCCAACAGTAAGAGCCATAGCGGTGGTCATCCTCCCATTATTAGTCCTTCCAAATTCCAAAAGAGTAGCTTCATGGGTTTCAGTTTGGCCGTCTGGGAAATCCACCACCACTTCATGATGCAAAAATACCATGTCCTGATAATGCGAATAACAAGTGAATGATTTTTTTCGTTTATTTCTTTTTTATTACGTATGTATATAAGCAAGTTCAGAAAATAAGGCTAGAAAAACAATCAGTTATATAGTTAGAAAATCTCGACAAATAATCATATAAGTTACTAATACGCATGTACATAGCCTTATCCTTGTACTAAAGCACAGAAAGACTGTTTCCGGATGACCCAGTATAAGTTATTAATAAAGTTAGAAAATCAATGACTTATATGGTAAGTGAGTGATTTGCGAGTAATTCCTTGGCATGTAATACTTCAACTCTGGGAAAGAAAGACATGAGTTTGTAATACTTTCAAATATAGATCAACTAAACGATTAAATTTGATCCATTAGTATGATTTGGAACATGTGCATCTTGAACAAGTTACGTGACCTAAACCAATTATGAATTATGTCCATAACATTAAGAAATTACCTGCTCTCCCTCCAGGTATGTCAACCGCTCTACCATTAATGAGCAAGTCACGTCAAATGCAGATTTGCAGGAAACTGGAATTT